GTAAGTTATATAAGATATAAGTGATATCTTTATGATTGTAGTAATAATATTTATTAAAGAAAATCACAAAAAATTCTAAAAATATATATAAATTATTATTATTGTGTTTTTTTTAATAAAAATTATCATTATTTTGAATTTTTTAATAAATAAATATAAGTTTTCTTCGGTATATATAAAAAGGAAAATCTCCACATAATCCCTAAACTTTAACCTTGTAAAAATCGTTTTTTTTTTTTTTTTTTTTTTTTTTTTTTTTGCAATTTAACCCTTAAAACCGACATTAACCGGTTATAATTGTTGTTTTGCAAATGTTTACCGGTTCTAATAGTCAAATTGAAAATAAATAAATAACTTTTTTGTCAATAAAACTCAAATATCAAATATAAATATTTTTTTTCCGGATTTTCTTTAAAAAGAAAAACAACCGAAGTGGTAAAAACTAGACAGATCTTCAACGAATCACCTTTTTCACCTTTCTATCAACACCCCACCACCCTTTCTCTCCACAGGTTCGTAACTTCTAAACGATCAGATTATACACATCAAAATAGCATGAGAGAGAGACAGAGAACGAGATCTCGCATTCAATAATTTAACGATCCAGACCATAGCGAAGTTGAGGTTTTGATCAGATCAGAAGAGGTTAATATCCGATCAAAATGTCCACAGAAAGAAACTATAATCTGGTTAAGATGAAATCCAGTAGCGGAATTCGAGATGGATCATCAGCTAAAACTAAATTCGATCCATCTGTTATCAAGAACAAAGTTGTTAGTGGAAGCTCAACCAAGCCATCGATTGATTCAAAGCATAAATTTTCGTCCACAACCACAACCACAACCACATCTAACGTTTCTAAAATTGAGGTAAAATTCTTTGTTGTTATATGATTCTGATTCGATTTTGTTTATCGTCGGTTGAGCTGTACCTAGAAATGAATGATAATCTATTACTGGGCTAATTGGATGTTTGAAATTGAAATTAATCAAACAATTTATGTTATCGTTAGTAGACTCGATCGAATTGCAATTGTAAATCTGCCGATTCTATCAATCGGAAACGTCGACCCTAATTTGATTCCCTTCATCTCGCAAATAAAGAAATAAAAGGATAAGAATGTTTTGTTATCCTGATCTGATTAATCTTCAACAAGAAATCTTAACAATTGTGGTGGAATTAACATATGTGGAGAATAATTTAAGAACTAGTTGTTGTCGGTTGAATGTTTGGTATACAGATTATGAAAACTGATTATCCAGATACGTAACCTCACCTAAATTAACTGATTATCAAACTATCTGATGCTGGTTCTTCAATTTCCAATGCTCAACTTGAAAATTCACATCCAAATCATAGTGGATCTTGGTTTTTTGTATGTTATAGTTTGGATTTTGGGTTATTTTACTCGATTAATATCTCCATAGTTTTGATTTTTTTTTTTTGTATGTTGATTGACTCTATCCTTTTGTCATTCTGAAGGCTAAAGGAAAATCAATTTTGAGTTCTTCAAAGACCAAAACAACTACAAAGACAGTTAAATCAAGAGAGAAGAAAGTTTACTCCTTGCCTGGCCAGAAGTATGATGTTCCAGAAGAGGTACACAAACTTTTCTTGTTTTCATCATTTTCATAATACAAATCATTCCTTAATCAGTACAACCTGTTCTGTTCTGTTCTGTTCTGATTATATCAATTTACTTGATGTTTTATAGCGTGAACCTCTAAGGATCTTTTATGAGTCATTGTCTAAACAAATACCTTCAAGCGAAATGGCAGAGTTTTGGTGAGTTCAGTTCATATATACTTTCTACTTTATATATGAAGACGTTTTTCTTTGTATTTAATAAACCGACTGAATATGAGTAAATGACCATTTTACCCTTTTAACAATCAACAAACAATGTTCATGTCCCGATAAAATTTGTAAAAAGAAACATCCACCATGATTTATTTATTGCATCTGGGATATGCAGGATGATGGAACATGGGATGTTGTCACCCGAAAGGGCAAAAAAGGCATATGAGAAAAAGCAGAGGAGGCAAAAGGAAATACGAATGGGAACTCCTGTCAAATCTCAGCCACCACCACCACCAAGTAGACCGGACACTTCAAAGAAGCCACAACCATTTTCACCGCCCAACAGAGGCGGCGAAAGTTCAAAAAAGCCACTGCCGCCGCCACAACCAGTTTCAAAAAATGGGGATGCCAAAGCAAATAAACGAATTTTGGATGATAGTAGTGAAGATGATGATGATTTTGTGTTGAGCCACAAAAGAAGGAAAGGGTAAAATGGTAAAAACATGTAGCGTTGATGTCAACCGTATCTTTATAGATTGGTTATAACTTTAACCATGTTTTGTTTGTAATATTTAAAATAGAATACCTTAATTTGATATTCAATAATAAATCATAAAAAAACCATTTCATTGGAAGTTGGCCATGATATATATAAATTGGACTATATAAAGTAAAATCTCTACTAGCTACATATTATGTAAATTGGACTGTATATATACCGCTGTTTGGTAATTTACATTTTATGACTTCAAATCGTTATTTTTCTTAATTAATGTCATAGATGACGTCACAAATTATTTATATATTGTGTACGTGGTTCCGTTGTGAATTTATATGTAAACACATGCTTCTGGTAAAACAATGACATACGATGATAACGTGAGTAGTATGACGATGTAAATCTGTTACAGGGACCCACAATAAGTTGGAAAAAACTGTGTATGAACTAATAACTTGAACCCACAATATATGATATAAGATAGGAAAACTTGATGTTCGGTGTGACATTAGGAAATTGCAAGTAAAATAATACATTTAACATATATATTTTTTTGAAATGAAGGGTCTTTAACACTTCTAACTAGAAATTACTTGTAAAGATCAACATATAGATAAACGTATAAAATATACATAAACCCGCAAAAATCCACACATGATTTACCTTCCGCTGCTCCCCGATGATCCAATATACTCTTTAATCATCTCCTTAACTTTATCCTTCATAATCTTATCCTCAACACCCTCAAGCATATTCCTATAAAACATCTTCAAACGCACAAGCTTCCCTTTATCACACGATTCCAACATATCCTCCCACTCTTTCCCAACATCAAACGACCCTAAATCCTTAAACGATATCGGTATATCCTTATCTCCCTCAAAAACCTTCCCAAATAGCAAACCATATAAAAAGCCCGCATAACGCTCCATCACCAAACCCCTAGACTTAACCCTCTCCATCTCTTCCATCACCATCCCTAATCTCTCCTCGCCATCATCCTTAACCACCGTCTCCTCGTCTCGTGGCCCCTGTGGGGGCCACGAAACAACCCTAGGGGTAAAATGGTCATTTTCATGACCATTTCCAAGAACCCCGTTTTTCCCTCGCCCCCATGACCAAATCTTGTAGCCACTTTCGGCTACAAGAACAGTATGGGCCGCCCCGCAAGCTACTTGAACGGGGTCAGGGAAATTCGGGCCGTTGATCAAACGAGGAGTGAGCGCATCTCCACCGTCGGATTCAGTAAAAGTAGCTTCCGGGCATAACCCGAGCCCGTTTTCCATACCCCACGACCAAATTTCACCCGATGATGAAACTAGACTCGTGTGGAATAAACCACACGCGACCGAAACAAAATGAGAATTCTCGGGCAGCCCGATCGTCATTTCCGGGTACATTGACCTTTTCGTGGTTCCCTGACCAAGCTGCCCGTTATCACCACGACCGAAAGTCCAACATACACTTTTTTGTGTAGCACTTTCGGTCTTTTTGTAAGTGAGTACACAAGTATGGAATGCTCCACATGCTATTTCGTAAGGTGCCAATGGCGAATCCGGGCAGAACTTTTCGACTATTTGAGGGTTTGGGCTTGTTTCTGTGTGCCCGAGGCCTAGCTGCCCGTGATTGTTACTGCCCCAAGTATAGCATACTAGAATACCATCTTCATTTTTGGCTAATGCCACGATGTGTTCGCTTCCACAGGCGACCTTCATGACAGTGTGACCGGGGAAGTTAATGGATATTGGGGTAGGTGTTTGTTGTTCCGGGCAGCTGCCCCACATCCAAAGAGACCCGAGGTTATCGATTGCTACTGACATCATGCCTCCCGCTTTTACCGAAGAAATCTGGGTAGAAAAGTAAATTACTGACATAATTTATTAAATAGGAATAAGAGAAGGGTAATTTAGTCCACACCTTAAGTTCCTTTTCATTCTCGGTTACCGATCCATCTGTCATGGGCATCTTCATCAAACTTGGAACAATAGAATTCTCTCCATCGAAACCAAGTTGACCATCTGCCTCATTGTCAAGGATATAAATTACTAATATGTCCTATGGTCTACATTGGACCATTGGTTACATGAGACATGACTGGAAAAGCATTTTAGGAATATTTCCCGTGATGAGGATGAGGAGGGCATTCTCGTCTTTTGCACATACGAGAGATCGAGAGCAAGTTTTTGTCCCATCTTGTTCCACCTTTTTGGGTGGAACAAGAAAAATTGCAATTTTTGTCGCATTAATCCGAATGCCACATCAAACACAGTACAACCAAACTTGTCATGTCATGTCATAATTTGAAAGGATACAAGCATTGTAGCCCCAGCCCCAAACTGAACTATCATCTGAGATAAGTATTGGAAAATTAGAGAAAGAAAATGTTAGGCCACGTATTCAGAATTTGTATATTATCTTTCAGATATGATATAGCAATGACCTTATTTTCTAGGGTTAAATGTAATAACTAGCAATACACTTTCATATATTTGTATTTTACAGCATCCTACTTCAGCAAGCCATATATGAGAATTGTAACAATGTTGGCATCATGTAGCAATGATGATGCAACAACCATACTAAATTATGAACAACATATCACTTCATGCTCCAATTTCAGAATCTTGGAAAAAATCTAGGGCAATTAGTAATTTGATTAATCGAAATCCACAACATAATTGGATTAACAGACATTTGGGGAAAAAGCAGGAATAGAAATATTACCAGCAAGAGCTAAACTGTGATAAGCGCCGGCAGATATTCCAACAATTTTGACCTTATCTCTCTTATCCGTCAAATTGAATTCAATTTTCACCGGAAAAAACTGATCAACCTCCGAACCATTGCCGAGCCTGCCGAAGGTTCCTCTACCCCATGAATATACGTCACCATCAGCTTCATACACACAACAAGAACAAAATTAAAAAGCCGAAAAGCTTCCATTAGCTCGAAACTTGTATGGTGGTGATGGTGCCAATTAATAGATGATAAGTACTGGGTAAGATTTTATTACCAGTGAGAGCAAGAGTGTGAGCTTCTCCGGCGGCAATTGCGATTACTATCCGAGATAGATTACCGGCATCCACGTATGTTCTTGCTTCTGCCATCGTCTCCCTATTTTGGTAATTAGAATTTACAACTCCCTCGCGAATCGCGATAGATAAAAATTGCCACAAGTATATTCCATTTAAGTCATCAGGATTACTCTTACGCCTTTTCCCAGAGTTTTTTTTTTCTTAAAATTTTTTTTTTTTTAAGGGAAAGGTAAGAAAAATTTTGACAGAAAAAAAAAGATAAAAGAAATATTAATTATTCCGTGTTCCCGAGTTCGAAGGAAATAAAAGAAAAATTTTAAGTTTTTGTGAGGAGGAAAAAGAAAATAAAACTTGAAATTTTTCTTCCCCTCATTTTCTTCCCAAATCCGTCCAATTTAGGAGGAACATTTGAATGGAAAATATGACTCCAAAATCATTTCCTTCCATTAATGAAACTCGGGAACACAATTTTCCTTTAACACTCCTCACTTTCCCTCCATATCGTCTCATTTCCCTCCTTAAGTAGAACTCGGGAACAAGGCATTAGGGATAATGACTTGAGAAGTAGTATATATTTTGTACATTTGGTCACTTAACTTTTTTTTCGTGTACCGTTAACAATTAAACTTATTTTTTTTATTTAAAATATACAATTATGAGTGGTAATAGAAGGTTTTTCAGGTTTCCGACGTCTTTTCCGGTCAAGTATGATTTTTCCGGTCATCTTCTCCGGCCAAAATAGATTTTCCAATGAGTTCTTGACACATTTTTCAGATTTCTTCTTTCTCTTTCTCGTTCTCTCTCTTTCTTATATTTTGTTTCTAGATTTGTGGGTTTTTGTTTTCAGATTCCGACGAGTTCAACCTTCAAACTTCGATTTGGTTCCTAATTCGTGGGTTCTTTGTTTGGTTCCAGATTCGATTTGGTTCCAGAAATGAGTTAGCGTCCGATTTAGGTTTCTTCAAAAACAAGATTGTTCATCTGTGTGTTTGAAATTGATTTCTTTTCTAAACCCATTCATCTTCATCGGTGTTAAACCCTTCAAAAGAAATAAATTTCAAACACACTAAGGGAGGAGAGAGTCATTCCCTCCCAACCCACTGTCACATCAATTTTTGTCTCTTTTTTTTCTTCATATTTCTCAAACCACAACACACAGAAATCTTATATTTTTCAACCCACTCAATTAAAAAAAAATACAAAACAACTAAGGTACAAGTTTTAAAACACATGGTACAAGAGAAAATGAGAGAGAGAAAGTAGAGAGAGAGAGAGGATGAAGTGAGTTAGTGAAACCAATTAAACAACCCGCTGAAGAGGGAGTGGTACCAACAGTAACTCCATTGCTAATTAAGATTTTACCTTGACTGTTTTGTATTTTTTTAATTAAATGGGTTAAAAAGATAAAGTTTCCGTGTGTTGAGGGTTGAGAAAGATAAAGAAAAATGAAAGAAAAAAAAAATTGATGTGACAGTGGATTGAGTGGGTTAGGAGGGAATGACTCCCTCCTCCCTAAGTGTGTTTGAAATTGATTTCTTTTGAAGGGTTTAAAACCGAATGAAGATGAATGGGTTTAGAAACAAGAGCTGAAATCGAGTTCGATTCTTGTTAGGGTTTCTTCATCAGAAACAAAATTGATTTCAAATGTGTGTTCCAAAAACAAAATCGATTCCAAATATGTGTTGCAGGTTTTAAACTCGAAGAAGATTAAGGATTCCAGAAACGAGAACCTGAAAAAAACTTCCATCAAGCACCACAACCTCAATTATCGGAACCACCTTCGTTTTCCACAGTCGAGAAAACCACCACCACCACTGCTTTCTAGACTCATTCGAGTTCACATATGGTGGATTTCAGGTCTCGTTTCTAGACCCAATCATCTTCATCGAGTTTAACTCAAACACACATCTAATGAAGATTGTTTTTTTTGAAGAAACCCTAAATCGATCCTTACAAAAACCCATGAATCTGGAAACACAACATAAGAAAGTGAGAGAAAGAGAGAAAAAAGAAATCTGAAAAATGTTTCAAGAACTCATCGGAAAATCTATTTTGGCCGGAGAAGATGACCGAAAAATCATATTTGGCCGGAAAAGACATCGGAAACCGGAAAAACCTTCTATTACCGGTCATAATGGTATATTAAAAAAAACAAGTTTAATGGTTAACAGTGCACCAAAAAAGTTAGGTGACCAAATATACACAAAAGATATAGTTAGTTACCCTCTCAAGTTATTTTCCCTTGCTATTATTACAATTACACCCCTTATTTATTTTCTAACACCACCGATCTATAAACTTTTAAAAGTGTCTATCTTAAGCGAAAAGTTTATTATTATTATTATTATTATTAATCAAGTGTTTCATGGAGATTAATCTAATTATAAGGTGTTTTATAAGATGAGGCGTATAGTGGTTTTCGTGCCAGAATTATAGTCCTCGTTGTATAAGTTATAAGTTATAACCCCTTTTTATCTTGCAAATGCGTTTTATCGTGCAAGACAAATCAAACATAGAGCTATCTTGATAATTCAACAACGATTAGAAAAGATTATTGCTAATTTTAATTTAGTACAACGACAAATGTTTACACACACATAACCTATTAAAAGAAACATTTGACCCCTTAAACTTATATAAAATTTACATTTATAAAATTTACATTTGACCCATGAACCTTGTAACTTTATGAAATTTACATTTTTAAGACCTGTTTAAATATGTGTTTCATTCTCACCCTCTTTAGATTTTCTTGCGTTATTTTGCACCACAAAATAAGTAATTTGGTATGATAAATAACAAAGAAATTTCGAGAATTTCCTGATCACGTAGAAGTTGATGTTGCAGCAATTTAACAACGGAAAATCGGAAATTGCCAAAAAAAAAAAAAAAGTGTTGATTAGAATTGTTTATGGGTCGCTAGGCATAATGAGTTAAAAGTCATATTTTTTCGAGGTTTCAAAACTATCATAAACATATTAATAAATCCACGATTAAAAATTGCACTAGACAGACACACAGTTTCAACAGTTTCAGAGTTGTCAATAAGAATAGATGTTTATATTTACATGTTAAATCAATCATGAATTCTAAACAAATTGAACAAGAAAAGAAAGAAAAAAAAATGAGAGAAATTAACATTAGCCTCTAATTAATTAAATTCACCCCACAATAATCTTCACCCTGTTGATCGTTTTCATCTTCGCTAACATACGCCGACAGGTTAATATACTTCTCCTGTTCAGCTCGATCTCTCCACCTTGCTCGACATATCACACAACACGTTGATCTTCTCCTGCTACTCCTCTTCCACGCCATGAAACAATCTTCATGAATCGGATTCTTACAAGTGGCACACGCCACCAGTTTCCGATCACCTCTCCCCATCTCCTCCAGACACACCGGACAATTCGAACCCTCTTCTGCCACCACCGGCGGCCGTTTCCCATCCGGGTTGGTGGCGGCACGGTGAAGATACATTTCCTGGAAGCGTTGTCGGATGGCTACACCGGCAACGGCATCTGCAGAGACGGGAGCTGAGAGGAGGCGGGTGAGTTGGCAAGGGTGGAGGTTTCGGCGCCATAGACAAGGGTCGTCGAGGGAGATGGAGAGGATGCGAATGTAAACGAAGAGGATGTGTTTGCATGGGGTGGTGCGGTCTGGGCATGTGCAGGATGGAGCGGCGGAAAGGGTGACTGTGTAGACGTTTCCGGTGGCGCCTAAGATGAAGAAGTCGTTGTTAGAGCGGTGGAGGAGACGGAGACGGTGTTCTAATGCACGGAGGACTCGTTCTGTGAGAGGCTCAGGTGGGTATTGTGTGTAGTCTGCTGGCGGCGGTGGCGGTGGTGTTGGTGGTGCGGCGGAGGTGGAGGGATGTGCAGGTTCCATTTTTTTTTGGGGGCTTTCTTGTGGGGAAATGGTGTGGTGGTGGGGGTATTGTAGGTGATGTAGAGATTCTTGGAGGAGACGTGAGGGGGAGGTAAGGGCGTAAGTTAACGGGATAAGTTACCGGTTGCCTCGCTAAAATGAGGTTTAGGTTGTCCGTAAGGCAAGTCAACATGTACAAGAAGGGATCCAAGAAGAGTTTGACTTATAAATAAAAGACTATTCATTCATTCATAATATAAATCGAAAGTTCTTGAAAACTAGAAGGAAAATTTCCAATTTGTAAGGCAAAATAACATGTTTAACTTATTCCGAATAAATAAATAAATAAATAAAATATAATACACAAAATACAAAATATTATTTTTGGATTTACAAATTATCAAGGCATAAGAAAGATAAATGATACAAAATATTTAAGATACGAAAAGTGTCTTTTGTAATATGAAAA